TGGGCCTGGCACTCCAGGTGGGATGAAGAGCAGGGATGGTGGAGCAGCCTTACCTGCCCAACCCAAGCGCTTTAACAGGGAATGAGCTCCCCATGGCAGGAGGCATGCAAGCAAGCATCCTCTGGGTACCAACTAAAATAGCTCCACTCAAATTTTAAAAAAATAAATGAATCCATAAACATTTGCTTTTAAGAAAGTTTCCCCTGCCTAGAATATTTACAAGTGTGTAAATCATTTGTTAGGAGCCCAGGTGGCAGAGTGAGTTACGTGATGGCCTGTTAAGTACAGGGGCAGCAGTTCGAAACCACCAGCTGCTCGGCAGGGGAAAGAGGAGACTTTCTACTCCCGTGAAGATTCACGGCCTTGGAGACCCACAAGGGCTGTTCTAGTCAGTCCTGCAGAGTCACCAGATGTTGGAATTGACTCAGAGACAGTGGGTTTGTTTTTCGTTTTGTTTTTAAAGAGCAAAACCACTTGAGACTGCTTTTCTGGCTCCTTCCAGCAGCCAGGCACAAAAGGAGTTTGCTCCGTAGGATGAAGAATCAGACCTGAGACGCCTCCCCTCTTGAATATGGATGGGACAGCAGGGCTGGTTTGTTTTTTTAAGTCGTTAGCAAAATGAGCTATTGCCTTTTATTATGTACCAAATGCCACGGGCATCCCACCTTTTAAATATTTTTTATTTTTATGTTTCCCAACGACCTCTCATGATGAGTATTAATATTCCTCATTGTATAGATGAGTAAATCGGGGTTCTGAGAAGTGAGGGACTTAAACACACCCAGAAGTAAGTAGCAGGTCTGAGACCAAAGCCCAGTTCTGAGTGGGGGTCAGGCTGCGGAGGCTGATGGACCCGGGTTCCCACCTGATGCCTGAAGCTTGTTTGCATGGAGGGAAGAGGTTTTCTGTCTGCCACCACCTTTGGTGACGTTTTCAGGAACCCAGACCATTGAATACGGGCCTGGGGCAAAGCAGTCCCTAGGCGGTGGCCACTTGGGAGCCGGCAGGGTGGGAAGAGCCGGTCTGTGGGCCTGCGATCACTTCTGAGGGCCGTGGCTCCTGTCCCTGGGCTTGGTGGGAAAAAAGCTTCAGCAACAGCACAAGACAGGCTCTGACCGTCCACCATCCTGGGACACAACACACCTGCTGAGCACAAATGCTAGGCTTCTAAGAGCCCTTTTGAATTGGGGGGCCTGGGGTGCTCTCAACCCTAGAGCACAGTTCTGAGGCCAACCTGGGCTTCTGCCAAGCCCCCGCTTTGCGCCTTACCTCCCGTGCAAACTCATTGCTGTTTCTGAGTCTCAGTTTCCTGTTCTGGACCGCCGGCTTGTGGCAGGGGATTTCAGGGGAAAGTGTTTGGTACGGCGGCTAGCTTATGGCCCAAGCCCAGAAAATGGCTGTGACATCACTGTGGTGGGAACTGCTGGAGAATTAATGCCTCAGGGCTCTGCCCGCCCACTCCAAGCACCAGGGCACCCAGCAGAGCCCTGGCATTATCTCTGGGCTGGGAACTGGGGCTTTCTGGTTTTGTTTGCAACCCTCAACATCCCTGGGCTCCAAAGCGACCTCTTGGTGTTTGGGGAAATCGGTGCTGTGGCCACCGCTGGGCCTCTGAAGGGTCTCAGCCAGGCCTGGAGGAAGCGCTCTGTACTGCTCTGTACACAGCCTACCACCCTGCACACACACTCCCCCCACAGTGCACGTGGCCCAGATTCCAGAAACCTCTCAGGAGGAAGGGGTCTTAAAAAAAAAACCCTCACTGGCCCCCAGTAAAATTATTTAAAATAAAATAAAAGGCTGAAAGAAAAAGAGAAACCAATGGGGATTAAATCCAAGGTTAAAAAAAAAATTGGATAGCATTAATTCTCTGAGGCCGAACTATGCCTGCAGAATCAATGCGTGTCACACGCAGCAAAGGGAATATGGGAATGGAAAAATGCACGCTAGTCTGAGGTTTTCAATGCTGAGGCTAAGACTGTAAACATTTTAGAAGAAAAGGCTGTAAGAAGCTAAAGTGACTAAAGTTGTACGATAGATATATTTACAACAATGACCCAAAAAAGTAGTTATTCAGGCCACTTATTATGCACAAGAAAAACCTCATGAAATTTGATTTCTTGGTGTGGAGGGTTAGGGTCATGATGTCAGGTAACATCCCAGTTGGTTGGCCGGATCATAAGTTTAGCGCTTCCGTTCTACCTCTTACTTTGATTGTAGTGCCTTGGGTCCTAAATCTTGCAAGTGGCCATCAAAGATACAACAATTAGTCTCTATTGGTCTGAAGCAACAGAAGAAGAAAGGAAGTCGGGAACAGGAAGAGAATCTAGAACGTGTGGCTAATTGCTGCCATGAACATCTGCCTCCCCTTTTATGAGTCCGGAAGAACTGGATGGTGCCCAGCCACCGTCACTGAGACGGTGACCAAGGATTCCAGAGAAGAATTGTGATCACAGGGGAGAGTATAGATGAGAACCCAAATTCTCGTGGAGTCAACTCCCTCAAACCACGAGGTTTGATGAACCCCTGAAATGACGGCCCTGAGAGAATATTTAAATCTTCAGACAAAAATATGCCTCGGAGTCTTTTTTTTTAACCAAACAATAATGCGGGTTAATTATTTTAAAAGGTCCGCCTTGAACATTCTGCTCTTAAAAATAATTACCATGAATTAGGTGAAGGTTTATAGAGAGCAGCTCATCAGCTTTACATTCAACAAATCATGCACGATACTCTTTAAAGCACTATCAATATGGGATCAAATTGATTTGAGAGGCTCTATTGGAATCTTAGGGGGCAGTGAATTTATGTTAATAGAGGGGAGCAACTCAGGAAAGGAGGATGGGATAGTTGCACACCCATAGAATAGAATCAATATCATTAGATGGTATATGCAAAACTGTTGAATCAGTGTGTGTTTTGCTGTGCATATTCTCAACAATAACAAAATTCATAAAATCATATATATATAAATCCTCACTGCCATCCAGTCTATTCCAACTCATAGTGACCCAGTGAGGCAGGATAGAACTGCCCCTGCAGATTCCCGAGGCTGGAACTCTTTCCCTAAGTAGACCGCATCTGTCTCCTGCTAACCCTCCACCCGGAGGGGCTCTTAGCCCCTAACAAAGGCTTAGGCTCTATCACCAGTCAGTCCTGGGTGCAAATCCCAGCCCTATTATGAATCTTCCACAAATGACTTCCCTCTCTGAGCCTCAGTTGTCCACCTAGCCAGGGGGTCATTAGGCCACTTCACTGAAGAATTACCCA